TATCAGCCATTAGATTTGAGCATTTCTAAATCTGGAATAAAGCTGAATTTTTGCACATTAGTTGTATTTAATAATGCAATCATTCTTTTCCTAATTAAACAAGATGGGAAGTTGGGGGGGCCTGGGTTATTTTTGTGGGGGTTTTTTTAATGTGTTTTTAATGGTCATTGCAGTGTCTCACTGTGCAGCTCAGACTCATAGTGATCCTCCTGTTTTGAGCCTCCCCAGCTCTGGGATTACAGGTGTGCGCCACCACACCTGAACTCAATGGCCAGCTCAGCGCACCCGGAGCAGGGCTGGTGTGCATGTGGCGCTGGGGATCAAAACCAGGCCCTGCGCTTGCCTACGCAGGCGCTTAGTCTGCTGAGCTATCTCGCTGGTCTGGGCCTTCTCCCAGGGCCCTCATACCCAAGATCCTTTAAAAACACTGTACGTCCATAAATTAGTTTAGTTGCTAAGATGAAGAACAGAAACCTGACCTGAGATAGAAAAACAGATTCAAAGTTTTCAAATAATTTTTGGGGGGAAAAGAGAACACCCCTCTTTTAAAAAAACATAGCAGACTGGACCTATGCCTTCACCTATAAAATGGGCCATGCTTTCACCACCAACTTGCCGTTCTCGCTCCACCTCTGAGTGGATCTCCACTTCTCTCCTGTAAGCCATCCCACGCTTCCTGTAGCTTCGCAAATTCCACACTTCCACCACCAAAACCTCACCAGTCGCCCCCACTCCAGGCTGCACTGTGCCTCTCCCAGGGTCCCAGGCCCTGTTCTGCACGCACACTTCCAAGCCTAACATGCCTCCTTGTGACCTGCAGGGAAATGTGCCCTCTCCATGCTAGGAACTGTACACAGAGCCCCACGCCACTAACTACATCCCCCACTTCAAAACATTTAAAATAGAATTGCCATACGATCTAGTAATCCCACTAGTGGGTTTATATCCAAACAGAACTAAAAGCAAGACATAGAGAGGTGATCACTCACTCGTGGTCATTGCAGCAGCTTCCTAAGAGCATAGAGGAGGAAACAACTCATGCCCATGAACGGATAAAACAAATGTGTACATACATACAACAGACTTAGTCAGCTTTTTAAAAAATGAAATCCTTCCTATGCTACAACATGAATGAACCCAGACATTACACTAAGTGAAATCGCCAACCACGAAAGAAAAGGTCTGTGTGATTCCACATACAGGAGGCGCTTGAATCAGCCCAACAGAACCAAAGAGCAAAATGGTGGTGACCGAGGCTGATGGCGCAGCCATTGGGATGTCGTCCGGAAAGCGTCGGACATGCAAAGGAAAAGCTTCCAAAAGAGCGCAGCTCAGTGTGAACACGCTTCTGAACTGCATGCTAATGCCAATTTAGTTTTTGCTGCATTTTTTAAAAACAGTTGTTCAGCTAGCTTAAGACCTGACAGCCGTTTTCCTTGTCTTGAGAAGCTTCTGTTCTGCCCAGACTCCCACTCTGCCATCAACCTTCACCAGGTTTTTCAGCTGTGTCTAATTCATTAGAAGCATGGCTGAATGCCACCTGCCATGACCAGCGCGACCTCCACGTCTTCTGCACGTGAGTCACCACTTCCACAGAGCTGCAGGAACGAGGCCAGGCAGCACGCGCAACGCTTCCCTACCTGTACACTTGCTGACCCGCACAGTTCCCTTCACTGCCTCTAGGTTCACCTCTGACATTGTCACAAGGAATGGCATCTCGGCTTGGCTGCCAGCCTCCTGCTGGCTACGGGTTCTGGGTTCCACTAGTTACCTGGCATGGACTGCCCTGCTCCCACATCCGCTACAACTGGACCTGTCCATGTCACTGTGGTGCTTCCTTCGACCCACAAAAGAAGTCACAACTGACTGTTGCAGCTTCTGGAAGGCTTACATCAGCTTCCATGAATGTTCCCAGTAAGAATCTGCAAACACCCCTGGCTATAGTAACGCAGGAGAGCCCAACAGAACTTCCTCAAAAACAAAGCTACTGAGGCAGAGTCTCAGGATGCTGTTCAGACTGGCCTGGCCTGGAACCCACTTTGTAGCCCACACTCGCCTCAAACTCACAGCAATCCTCCTGCCTCGGCCTTCTGAGTTCTGGGATTATAGGCATGTGCCACCATGCCCAGCTCTAAAATTCATTTTAAGTTACTTCAAAATTACAGAAGTCTTCTAGAGGTGTGTTAGCACCATTTACCCATCTTCTGTGGATACAGGCATCTTGAATAATCACAATTATCAAAGCCAGAAAAGTAATATTCGTAAAATACTGTAACCTAATCTACAGAACGCATTCAAGTCTTGGTTGTCCCACTGCCATTTTCTGAGAAGAGTCTGGAGGGCCTGGGCTGGCACCACACACCAGCTTGCCCCATCTCGGTCTCATCTAAACTCAAGGCAGTCCTCTCGGCCTCTTGCGGCCTTGCTCCTTTGCAAGGATGTGAGCCGCCTGTTGGATGGACACACCCAATCCAGGCCTCTGACTCCTTGTATGGAACTAGGTTGTGCGCGCCAGCAAGACAGCAGCGCACACCCACCAGTGAGTGGTGGGAGGGGACATGGGATGCCCACATCCCCTGGCAGATGGAACCCGGGGCGCTTGACTGGGACGGTCCCGCCCGGCGCTTCCAGACTCCATCTGTAACTGACGGTCCTGCTGCAGACACGCTTTGTCCAAGCATAATCCCCACGGCTGTCTTTGCCTGCACAAGTTCACTGTGCTTGCTAAGCAGTGGCATCTCTCTTCCGCCTACCCACAACTGGTACTCCACCATAAGGAAGATCTTGTGCGCGTTTGTTTATATCATTACGGCTATTTTCTCTATTCCATAAATACACAACAATTTTCAAGAGTTTTGGACAGAATTTATTAAATTGTCTTCAAAAACACTGTGTGTGAGTGCTCCTCCGGCGACTGCCCGAGTCTGCCGCCGCTGCCCCCCGCCCGCCACCAGTAACTACTTGTAGAACGAACACCTCCCGCGCAAGGGACCCGCCGCTTGCTCTGCACTCTGCTGCCAGCACAGCAGCCCCTGGGTAGCCCCACTGCCCAATTTCCTCACCTCTTTTTATGTAACTTGGCACACTCTTCTCCTGCCATCTCCATTTGTGGTGTTTTTATTCACTGAGGATTTGCAAAGTGATAACTTGAAAGACATATTTTCAATTTCTTTGCCTTTTGACAACCAATGAAAACCTTGTTAATAGTTGAATCAATCAATATGCTTTCGTCCTGTTGAAATGTTCCTCTCCAAAGAGAACCTTGCTCTCTCAGACCGCTCATATGCCCACACTTCTAAACTTAGGTCTCCAGAGCTTGTACTTAAGCTACTGGCGCATTTTCAGCGAGCTACTTATGCAGCGTGAGCTGGAGGTCCCGCGCCCGTCTCAGCCCACGAATACGCAACCATTCCAGCGCCATCTGTGAAGGAGCCCCGCACTGCTCAGAACCAACGGGCCCCTTGTCTCTCTCCGCGCTGTCCACTCTGCCTCACTGCCCCGTGTCTCTCCAAGCCACCCACATACTGCTCATTACCGTGCCTGCCGCCTTGCCATCAGTGAGTCCTCCAGCCCGCTCTCGCTCTTCAACCCTGGCTTGGCTCTCTGGAGGTCCATGCCGGTCCCTGTGTACCTGAAGACTTGCCTTTGCTTTTGTTGGTGGTGGTGCATACTAGGACCTGGGCCTAAGACCGTCACGCTGAGCTACAACGCCAGACCTTTTAATTTTTATTTTGAAACAAGATCTTGGGCCAGGGAGATGGCTCAGTAGAATAAGCACTTGCCTGGCAAACGCCAAGCATCTGAGTTCAATCCCAGGTTCCGCAAAAAAAAAAAAAAAAGAAAAAGAAAAAAGAAACAAGGTCTTGCTAAGTCACTAAGTTCCCCACATTGGGCTTGAACTTGGGATCTTTCTGCCTTAGCCTCCTAGAGTGCTGGAACCTACCAAACATAAAACTATTTTCTTATTTCAATATGCTCCTTCTAAGTTCAGAAAACTTTAAACTTAAATCAATAAAAAAAAATTTCCCTTTTAACAAGTCATTTAGGGAATAAGAGGATCCCTACCAAATGATATTTATAAAAATAGGTTCTGCATGGGTATATGTAACTAGGAAAAATATTCTTATCAAAAAACGTGAACTCTACAACTCTAGCTTTTTCAACAAATGCAAGGCAGACTACCTACCTATGGAGAGTCGGACAGCCTGACGTTATGGGAGATAAATACCACTAACAAACCCTTCATTGTACCACTACGGTATTAATATAGTACTGCCTACACCTTAGATTATAAATCATGAAGCATAGTAGTATAGTCCTTTTATTGTTTATCTAAGTTCTTTGATTATCCTTACTAGAACTCAAATTTACCCCAAAGCAAAATTTTATTTGAATACATTTAAATAAATATCAGTATAAAACACAGATTTGTAAACATTTAGTCATAATAACATAAATATTAATTTATACTGCAGGTCGGCCCAACAGCATACAGGAAAACAGACAATTATAATGGGAAGGGAGAGGAAACACACAGCCCGGTCAACAGAACACAGCCTTGCTGCCCGCACGAGCGCAGCTGCAGCTCCCGGGCTCCACGCCCCGGCGAGTGGCAGCGCCCGCAGCTCAGCGGGTGTGGTACTCCCTGAAACACTTGGCGTGGACGCCCTTCTGACACTTCTCGCACCGCGTGTTGGTCTGCGAGTGGCAGAGGGCGCAGCGCGTCCTCTTGTCCTGGTGGATGATCCAGTGCCCGATCATGTCGAAGCGGCTCTCGGTCTCCAGGCGCCGGCCCCGCCGGCCCTGCGAGGACGTGTCAGCGTTGCTCTCCAGGTACACGCAGGCCACGTACCTGCGGAAGGCCAGCAGGTCCACCTGCGCGTCGGGGCAGCAGATCCTGTGCAGCTGCCACGCGTTGTTCAGGGCGGCATCAATGACGTAGCCGAGGAAGCTCGAATACCACTTCAGGCCCCGGATCTTCACCTTGTACTTGGCGATGTTCTGGTCCAGCCGGCCCACGCCGCCCACCTTCTCCTGATACAGCTTCACCAGCGATGGCTGGTGGGCCTGCGCCCGCGCCCTGGCTGCACCCACGTGCCGGCGGGCCAGCCGCACGGGCTCGACGCCCACAGCGTTGGAGCACACGTTGAGCACGCTGCTGCCGTGCCAGCGGCACACGATGATCTCCTCGCGCTCGTCCACTTTGTAGTCGAAGGAGCCCCTCTTCATTTTCCTCAGCTCCTTGGGATCCTGGAGGGGGCACCGGTCCGTCCTGTGCTCACGAACTGTTCCTGTAGCCTTAATGCCCTTCTTCCTCAAAACGGACATCAATTTGACGCTCGTGAAAGCCTTGTCAAAAAAGATGTGGTAGGGCAGGCAGCCCCGCGCCTGCAGCGCGTCCACGAACCTGACGACCATGCTGCCGCCCAGGTCCAGGCCCCTGTCCGGCTTGGTGAACAGCGTGCCCTGTGAGGGCTCGAACCACACCAGGTAGCCCCTGCTGGTGGTGCCACACCAGATCCTGTGGCCCAGCCGCGCTGAGGGTGGCCGCCGGGAGCCGCGCGGCGTGAAGTACTCGCACAGGGACTCTCCGAAGCTGTAGAACTCCTCCAGCGGCGCATGCTTCTGGAAGTTGCAGTTCATGCGCACAATGAGCGGCCGGACCTTTGCAAACCGGTCGCTCTCGTCCAGCTCGCTGCTGTCTGCAAAGTGTAGATAGGAGAAGATCAGCTCGAATCTGTCCCTGCGGATGGCATCGGCCACGAGGTGGTGGTGGGAGTCCGGAGAGGTCTCCCAGAACATCCTCCTCCTGGGGTAGGAGACGTAGCCGCTCAGAATCAGCACGCCCAGAACACACTTCAGCTCCTGGATGGTGAGCCCCAGCCTGACGCTTTTCTGCCACGCGTACCGATTGGTCTCGTTAACAATAAAATTAATCGTTCCTTCATCAAAGAACAACTCAAAGAGGCCCACGGGACTCAGCTCCTGGCGCTTGAGGTCCTCGATGTGAGGGTCTGGCGCCATCCAGCTGCCGAAGTCCGGCCGGATGTCTCTCTTGGTCCAGACGCGCTGAACCTCCATTTCCACGTTCTGCCTCTTCGGGGACAGGGGCAGCGCTACCTCGTCGCTGTGCTCCCCGCTGCCCGAGCCCTCAGACACGACACGGGCGTGCAGCACGCTGCCGGGAAGCCGGGGCCCGCGCCTGCTGTCCTCCTCCCCCGAGTCCTCGTCAGTGAAGGTGCCCGCAGCATTGTCGGGAGGCGCGATGAAAATCTCCTTGGCACCGCCAGCGCTGGCCCCCTCCAGGGCACTCAGAACCTCCAGCAGCTTGGCGGCCTTGGCCTTGGGACGGACAGCTCCCCCGGGAGGGCCACCTCTGCAATGCAAGGGAACAAGTCAGCGGAGGCCACTCGGGACCTGGGGGAATCGGGACCTGGGCAGCCTGTCTTGGTCACAGGGCTGGAAGGGGTCTCCAGGTCAGTGCAGACCACCTCTACATGCGCTAATTTTCAGAAGAGAGACTCCCACCTCCTCGCCTCAGACAGGAAGAGACCCCCAGAAGAGCGCTTCCTTCAAGCAGGCTGGGCACATCTGCCATCATTTGACAGTGACTTCCTTGGGAAACCTGGCTGCCTGGAACCTGCCCCTGGGGGCCCACACCCGGGGGCCCCAGGGCAGCTGCTACTGCACTTTCCCCACCTCCCTCTCCGGTCTGCCTGACACAAGACGCTTCCCCACCAGGCGCTCCCAGCGAAACTCTCATGAGCCAACCCAAGAACAGAGCAAGCCGACTTTCAGGAGGCTCCTTCCTTTCTGCCCAACCGCAGCCTCAGACCTCGCCCTGTGGGCCCAGGGTGACTGGAAATGAAGGGCTGCTCACTGCCCAGGGCAGAGGGAGGACACATGCAGAGTGCCAGCAGCAGCTGTGTGGCAGATGTGGCCCTCCCAGAGAGGGGCTGCTGATGGGCCGTCCACCCCGAGAAAGAACCCCAAGGCCATTGAGGGGAGAGCAGGGCAGAGGTGTGGAGACCACTGCACAGAGCTCCAGACGCCTGGCCAGGACCACAGCGTCGGGATGTCCCGGACACCACCTCCAACAGGAGTGGTCAGCACCAAGCTGCGCACACATCGCTCTGGCTCTGAGAGTGGCTGTGGGGCGCGGGCCCTCAGGCCCACACTGGGGACCCAGCACCCCAGGGACCACGAGAGGCTAAGGTCCTGGTCATCCAAGCCGCATGGGCCCAAGAGACAGGTCTTGGAACAGCGACCCCCTGCCCCGCTTTTCTGCCGTCCCAGCCTCAGCGCCCAGGCACCACTCACCCCAGCTCCCCCAAATACCTCCCTCGAGCGGAAGTTCCAGCTCTGTCCCCTGGGAATCTGCCTGGGACTGAGGTGGCCCCAGGTAACCATCAATGTCTCTGTCCAGAAGATAAGGAGAGCTAAGTGAATTTTGTATCAAGCGGACCCACAGGCACCACACACTGTCAGCCTTATCTCCTGCCTTCTCCCACCCTCTCCCCCCTTCCTCCTCTCTGCTCACTAACACTATTTCAAGGCCAGCAGGACCCGGGCTAAGCTAACAGTGTCCCTGACCAAAGGCCCTCCTGGGAGGGCTCTCCTACCTGGACACGGATGCCATGCTGGGCGAGGAATGAGCCCGTGTGCCCTCTCAGCGTCCAGGGAGCTGCAAGACAAGGAAGTCAAGCTTTAGCAGCAAGGCGCTAAGCTGCAAAGCCACGGCGTCTTTACCACCTCTGTGCAAAGAGCTCCTGCTTAAGGCTCACGCCCAGGCAGAAGGGAGCAGATGGCACACACGCAGGAAATGCTGTCGGACCAACCAGCTACTTAGGAGAGCGGTCATCTCAACTCTCACCCCAAATACTCACCAGCTAAGCAGGCCAGCACCTGTCAGGACCACAGACATGCCACTGAGCAGGGCAGTCCTGCGCATGTGGGGGTATTTAAGGTCACATGCCCAATTCCCACTAGAGGATAGTGCCACAACTCAGCCTCCCACATTGTGCAAATGAAACCTTTGCCTGCCATTGCCCAGGGTGGCAGCTACTGTTTTGGACCTGCGCCATCAGAATCTACTGGGTGACAGAAACGGGCTGTACCAGAGCTGCCCAGCAGGGCAGCCACCAGCCACATGGGCCCGTGAGCACCCGAAATAAGGGCTGATGTGATGAGACACCGAGCTGCTGGTGTTAGGCAAGTTCAACTCATGTTTATTCAAATAGCCACCTGCACCAAAGGTGTTACTAAACAGTGAGGCTCTAAATCTACTAAACAGAACTGTGGGAAAGGAAAGCTTTTAAATGCTTTACATATTAATGAAACCCAGAAAAGGAATTTTTTTTTCAGTGTATTTGGTACAGGGTCTCACCACACAGCTTGTGCTTACAGCAATCCTCCTGTTTTCAGCCTCCCCGGTGCTGGGATTACAGGCGTGCACCACCAAGCCCAGACTCAGTGACTGGCTCAGCATGCACCAGGGCAGGGCCAGCAAGGCATGCGGTGCCAGGGATTGAACCCTGGTCCCTGTACTTATGAAGCATGTCCTTAGTCCACTGAGCTATCTCGCTGGCCCAAGGGAAGACTTTCTTAAAGGAAATGAACATTTAAGGAAAATGGATCAATTAAGCCTCACGAACTCTAGCAGGCGGCCTGCAGGGCAGTTCTCAAAGGTCCTCCTCCTCCTCCTTACATTCACAACCTGGAGTGACCTCTCCTCCAGAGCCCGGCCTTGTGACCTGCTTTTCACAGACAGGATACGGTCAGTGTGCCAGCAACATACCCTGTTCCACAGGGGCTTTGATCTGCCTCTATCTCCCTTTCTCTCCCCTCCTCTCACTCTGAGGGAACCAGCTGCCATGCAATGAGCCCACCAAGGCAGGGAACCGCCTGAGTTTGGTCCCCAGCCAACACTGCGGGGAACCACGGCACCAAACCTCCACACCACAGCCGACACCCCTTAGGGAATGGAATGCTGAGGGGCAGACAGTCACCCCACTCAGCCAGGCAACTATGAGCCTCGGAAACTCAACCAAGCCACACCAAGATTCCTGACTCTGCACCATGACACCTGACAGTTCTGCTGCTTTCAAGTTCTGAGCTTTGGGGTGATTCTTGATCCAGCAATGATAATTAATACATTAATACATAATTAATACATTCACCGTGCACAAGCCAGAAAGCAGCCAATCTAGCATACTATGTGAAGAATTTCCAAAGCCAGTGAGAGAAACAGGCCTTTACCCACTGAGAGGAAAGTGTAAAAGCAGTGAGAGGGGAGTTCACAATGGAACCCAAAACGGTCACTAAATTCTTGAATTAAAATCAGAAAGATGTAAATTAAAACCACAGGAGAGTGCTAGCCCAGGCCCTGTGAGTGTGTGGGAGAGCTTCCCACTATGCTGCGCTTGCGCTGGGACCTATTACTTGTCCCAGCCCAGGCACAGCGTGGGTGAGACACTCTTCCACCCCCTTGGGACGCCCCCTACCAATCCGCAGCACATCCCCCACCCCACCCACCCAGTAGGAATTTCTGCTGCGTTCCGGGAACCCCCAGATCCAGTCCTAGCCCAGGCCCGGTGAGTGATAGGAGAGCTGCCTCTACCCCCTACTCTACCTTGTCCCCTCCAGGCTCAGCTCAGGCCTGGCATACAGGCCTGGGGTGAAACCCTGCAGCTGCAATCTCCGCAGAGAGTGTAGAGGATACAACTACCCAGCTAGTCCAGGAGCAGAAAATCTTGCCAGAGGAGCACAACAAGTTTACTCCCAAGAGCAGCAGCAGGAAGGAGCTGAGCACAGCAGCCAGACCAAAGCCAGACACAGCTGGATAAATCCAAACTTTGTAGATCTGAACCTGAACTTCAGTACGTGCTAAGGTTATAACTACAAT